AATCCAGATCTCTACTGTGCCTGTGTTGTATATTGCAATCATGTGTACAACAATGAAACACAATGATTAAAGCATTGCAGTATCGTTTCCTGTCTGTGATGTGGTTTCCACTACCCTCTGCCTCTCTGTTCACTCCCACTTTCCCGCTGGCAGAGCCTCAGTTAGTTGACGGGAGAATTCTGTCACTAAAGCTAATATTAGTCAGGTCTCAGAAACCTTCACTCCTCTCTTCAGTCATTCTGCCTGATATGTCATCCCATAGTTTCAACAGAACTAATTAAATGTTAGGATGACGTGTCGAAGACATCTGCTGACAGCAAATATCACCAGACAAATATTTCCACTCAGAGTCCGGTTTGATTTGCAGCTGGATGTGACTGCCCTCATGTGGACAACTTGCAGCTTCCCATCATTAGAGAGTGAGAGTGTTTGTTTTAGATATGTTGGTGGTTTGTAAAGATATTGCTCCGTTTCAAGATCTGATAAATCATAAAAGGCTAAACAGATTGTGAAACAGTCTTATTTATAGGTTCTAATTGGACTCTTCTAAGTTTTGTATGCGTTCAAAATGAAAATATCATGGGACTGTTTCAGCTGTCAACACTTCAGTGCCTGTCTGCTGGACAAAAACAAGTAGAAAATGTACATGGACAAAGTGTTATCCTCTTTACAGATGTGACATTTGTTTTTGTTTTTCTTCTTACATTAAAATCAATAGATAAATAAACATATCTGCATTGCATTTTGTTCTAAATCCAAAATGGAAGCTTCCAAATATATTTTAAAAAAGTAAATAAAATGAAATATGTACTTATACCCTTTGGAACAATAGTGACAAAAGTTTTACCAATAACACATAAAATGAATGAAAACAAGTAGTTTTGAAGATGTTTTTTAAAAACAAGAAAGAGTCAGTTAGGAGCATTATGCTGGATTTTTAATGTGTTCAAACTTTGTGTGCAGCATCATAATACAAATATATGTTTTTTGTAGGTTTAAGGTTTATTTTTCTTAAAGCAATGGTCAAATGCTGAGGTGTATACACACTGAGAAAAGTGCAGTAATTTTAGAATGAATGTGTGATGGTCAGATAAAGTTAAAATGAGTAATGCAGTAGACAATGGAAACTGTTGCAGCTGCTACAGTTACACTGAGACACCACCAGGAGGCAGACTTTGCCATTGGAAATGGATGGAGGGAAACACCTGAATGTTCTCTCTTTACAGATACATACAGAATACAAAATATGCACATCACAGCTGGAGTCTTTCACTATGTTGTGTTCTTTTCCCTTTTAGCACAGCCAGCAGAAGGTTTTCTTGATATATTTGCAATATACCATAGATACTGAATTTGATGATTTAATTGATTCCAGTGTGTGATGGAAAAACTGAGAAGAAGATGAACCACTCATACTCAATGAAGAGTTCAGGAGACCCTGATGACATACACAGCAGTTTTATAGAGGCTCGGCAACAATACACAGTGCAATTGCCAACCCAATTCTGAAGATTATCTCCCTTTGGGGGGTATTAATAAGAAACCTAGACCCACATCTACTAGTGTCCCATTATGGTCATGCCTTATGCAGCTACATATGTGTGAATATCCAATTGGATAATGGTTTAAACCAAACTCTAACTCTACCTACACTATCCTAATTCATGTTGAATGGCACACACAACACATAAAGGAGACAGTCAGCGTGTGTATTAGAGTGTTCTTAACCATGGTCTTAACTACAATATGTTGGGTGCTCAACCTTATCAGCTGCTCTGCATCATAGTCTAGCCAGTAAAACAGTCGGAGAGGAGGACAAATTAAGAAAGGCTGTGACCTGTGACCTCCTTTAGGTTTGTTGACAGCTTCACAGTGGCAAAGAGAGCACCATGCCATTTCAGCCTAATGTAAAGAAGGAAACTTCCTTTACTTTTGTTCTTTTCAACATTGGGATAAAGTTTGTGTTAGAAAGTGTGTTGACAGCACTCAGTGTTCTTTCTGTCTGTTTGATTCAGATTCTGCACATCAGATGTTCACTTCGTCCTGAAATGAATAATCTGAGTGATCTGGAACAGGAGACACCTCTACCTTAGTGTTTGTTGCATTTTTTGCATCTATGTTTTGTTTTCTGTGCCACTTCAGACAGTATTTATGTATTGTATTTATTGTCATTCACTGTTTAGTATTTTATATTATTTTATTTCTTACATGTTTGTTTGAGTGCCCATATTTAATTTGTTCAAAACATCAGCTCACAACAGTGAGTTGGAAGGATATTTGGGGATTTGAGGATTGCTATTGGGTGCTATGCAATAATAAAAAAAAACAGTAATGTTAAATACCAAAAGAAGCAGCATGAAGCAGTTGATGATTAAAGGGGCAGAATGACTACAGTTATTCGGAATCACAGTTTAAAAAATAGACTTGTCTTCATACAACTTTATTGATCTTCTGGCAACAAATTATAAAAATACATTGTTTATTTTGTGTTACATGTCAAAATGACATGGTCATGTTCATAAATATTTAGTGAAATATTATACTTACATGTTTCATTACATGTGTTTGTTTGTTTAGTACTACCTTAAGTTGATCTAATCAATTTTTTTTTTTTACATAAACCGTGGATCAGATGTCTGTGTGTATTGCTTAACTAACAGAGAATTAACTAAGTTCCTCTCAGCTCTATGGAGCTTTTTAGTCTATTTTGGATCATTGTTTGGGTTTTCCTGACAACAATCTCTGCTATTTAGTACTTCCAAACACAGCAATCAGCAAAAAGCTCTGATAAAGCTACATTACCATACCTGTCCATCAGCAAATAGCAGTTAAGCACTAACAATGTTAGCCATTACCTGGAGAACATAGTGGCACATTTAGCAGCTACAGAGCCAAATGTTTCCTTCAGGAGTTGGTGGAGACCAAAAAGAGAGCTGAAATTGGAATGGATATTGAAACTCCAAATAAATGCTAGTGTTGCTCAGTGTCTGATGGATGTGTAAAAAAGCAACCGTTTGCAACAACTTTTAAAGGTGATAATGTGTCAATACTGTCTTTACAGCTAAATCCACTACATGAAATCATGTACTGTGTATGGCACTTAATTGCTTATTTGCAAAATTAAAAGAACTATGATGAATTGTTTGTAAAAGTCTCCAGAAACATAAGTAAAGTTTAAATGTTTTAAAATGAAAGAAAAAGGAAGTAAACCATTCAACTTCCCATGAGTCTCGCAAACATGATTGATGCTTCATGTCTAATACATTGAGATTATTCCTCTGCCACATCCTGTTGGGTTTTTGTTTGTTTGATTTGCGATGAAAGAGTTTCCTTTGATCACCATCTGATTTGTTGGATCAAACGTTGGCATGATCAAAAGAGTTTGCGTGGAATGGGAAGCACTTTGCAGTTTTGGGATTGTCTTTCATCTTAATTCACTAAGTTTGGTTTAAATTACCTTCCGACTTCATGTCTTTCATCTTGTCACAGTTGTTTCGGCTGACAGTTTTAACAGGTGTGTGAGGCAGCTTATAGATGATTACTGTTATTGATGATCATCATCACAAACATGATACAAAGATGCTGTTGATGATAATTAGATTATGCTGAGGGTGTGTGTTGTGGTAACAGTAGTGATGATGATTTGGGATGCTGATAACAGTAGTGGGTGGAGAAAAAGTTGATGAATGTGCAAAATGATTTGATTTGTTTTTATAATACACATGTTACTTGTAAAATAGAGTAAAAAAATAAATACAAATTTAACAATTGTGTCGAAGCATCACTTCCTACTCTTTGTACATTAAACTAAATCAGTAAAGGACAACACATGTGATTTAAAGCAGTGGTTCTCAGCCTGTTTCATTAAGGGACCCCTTCTCTATCATTGATTAAGCTGACGACCCCTGACTCAGCAACATATTTTTTGGATATTTCATATAATATTCAATGCATAACAACAGTACAGAACAATTGATAAACTGTACAATGAACACAAATAGTGAACACAATAACCGCAGGAAGTTTATTGAAATCAAGTGATTTGGATGAATTTTGAGCAGATTATTTTCCCATTGTTCTATTCATGAATAGTTCTAATATAGTTTGTGATAAGGTCAAAGTGTAGATGTTAAATAACGAACTAAACCTTCAAAATAGCGATTTCATTTTATTTTCTTGACAGCAATGAACAAAATGCTGAGATATAAGCCCACTGTGTATATCTTTTAAGTTTTCTTACACCTCTTAAAATCAAGAAGGCCTTGTGACGCCTGTGGAGGTCCCGACCCCCAGGTTGGTAACCACTGACCAGTGTGTAGGATTCAGTGGCATCTAGTGGCGAAGCAGCAAATTGCACCTAACTGAACACCGCTGGCATCTGTATGGTTGCAGAACTGACAAAAACAAGGAAAGCCCTATCTAAAGCCAGTGTTTGGTTTGTCCATTCTGGGAGAAATCCATTACTTCCATTACTTACAATTCCTATATTTAGGTGATTATGCACTGATGAAAACATACCCATGAATATTATATTCCATTTCTTCCAATAGATCCTTCTAAATGTTGCACACTGGACCTTTAGTGTAGTATTTTTTACCAGTATAAGCTTCTGACAGTTCATTGGATCCTGTCTTACATTTTAAAAAGACTCTGTAGATTAATGGCTGCAGGATTTTATTTCACATTAGCTGACAAGAGATCAAGTAGAATAGTGGAGGAATTCAGTCAAACTAAACAAACACTCATGGAATTGGAAAATAAATGAAAGAAGAAAAGAAAAGATATAAAAAGCTGGATATATCAATCTTAAAGTTCTCCATATACCTAAAAATAAGGCATCTCATACAAAACTGTGAGTGGACTCATCAAAAAAAATATGGAGTAAATGAACAGTAAATATTTGTATGTAAATTGTAGTTGGCAAATCAATAAATTGCAATATAGAAGAAGTAAAAAGACATATATGGGGTTTAAAATCATTTATTGCATAATCCTTCAAGTCAGCTAAGTGGCAAAGCCCTTTCTGAAGATTCCGTAGACTTTGAGTGCTATTTGTATCTGTTTCCACTGCAGACAGTCATGTAACTTAACAGAGGGGTGCCAGTTCGGCTGAGGGTAATTGGATCACCCATGGAGTTTCCTGAGACGTGCACTGCAATAGCTGGGTGGAGATTCAAAAATGTGGCCTACAACTTGTCAATAGATCAAAGCCGTGAAGTGTTAAAGGTCAAAAACCGGAGGACTGGACAACAACTGAATGTATGTCAGGCAAAGTAAGTGCAGGTGATGTTTCTTATTTTGTACTAATGTGACTGGCATCAGGCCTACTATTCATAACTCACATTTTAAGTTTAGTTTGCCCAGAGCTGGCACAAACATTTTGTACAGATTCCTTTCCAACATCTCTTCAGAGAACATTCTTGTATGAACTTTTGGGGGAAGAATGTGGTTTCAAATATTCAAACCAGTTTAGTTTAAACAAGGGCTGCCATGTTGGTCAGTGATACCAGGAGGTAAAAGGTGCCATTAAACCTGAATACTGCAAGTTCCAGATATTGTCACTCTCTCTGCATATATCAGCAGATATCTGCTTATGATGCTTCTGCTTGATTTTAATGTGTGAAAACATGTGTAATGTCAGCAGGACGACTCTGACTTTTGAACATAACAGATCATTCTTAAAAGAGATCAAGCTGACCTGGTAATCCACTACACAGATGCATATTAACCATTCCTTCATCTAAAAGAATGGTTGATAAGGTGGTGTAATGTTGGTCAGTGGTTGGTCCTATTTTTATACAGATTTAGATATTACTGATTTTCCAAACTGAACTACTGGAGAAGAAGAGCAGTAACCCATAGAACGCCTCTTACCTGAAGGCTATATGGTCTATCAATGGCAACCTAGGACTAAAAACAACACACTCAGTGATTGGATCATTGATTGACGTTCTCATTGGCTGAGCTCGGCTGCCAGTCAGAGGCTCCACTCGCTGGTTCGTTATACCCACGACTTAACGCAGGGCGTCTAATCTTCGCTCAGGCTACAGCCAAAGGATTGTGTCGCAGCGTCTCCCTGCTGAGGCGCTGACAGAGCATCTGTTGGAATACAAGTTCACTCTGACAACCTGCTCCATCTTTGTCCCCCCTACACCGCCCAGGAGCGACCACACGGAGCAACTGAACGTGTAAATGGAGTTTCAATCGCTGTCGTGACTGTTTCTCCACCGCCTCTCACCCCTGCAGAAGACTGCGTTGAAGTTGCAGCAGCATCCACACCACCGCGGCTCTCTCCTCTCGCAGTCATGGGAACCGTCCTCTCAATATCTCCGGCGACGAAGAAGGGATCTATTATGGACTCCGAGGTCGCGGGAGATGGAGGCAAAAACGACAAGAGCCTGAAGCGGCACTCGATGTTTGTCTCTCTCTCCTGGAAGAAGCTGGTGGCCAGTTCGGCCAAGAAGAGTGCCAAGAAAGTGAACCCGAATCCGCTGCCTGCCCCGTCCAGCCAGGTGGCTCAGCTCAACATCGAAAACACCAGGAAGACGCACCAAACCGAAGAGAAGAAACCAAAAGTGCCCATCCCGGTGCCGGTGCCCACGGTCCCCAAGCAAAACGGCGATGCTGCCGTCCAAAACGGGAGGCTGTCCACGGTCCAGAAGCAACCCAGCAGCCTGTCTCTGGTGTCACCGAGGCGGATAGTCATCCAGGCTTCAACCGGGGAGCTGCTTCGCTGTTTGGGGGACTTCATGTGCCGCAGGTGTTTTAAACTGAAAGAGTTAAACAGCGCGGAGGTGATCCTCTGGTTCCGAAACATTGACCGGACTCTTTTGATCCAGGGCTGGCAGGACCAGGGCTTCATCACGCCGGCCAACGTGGTGTTCGTGTACCTGCTGTGCGAAGACACGATAGCGGACAGCGTCGACAGCCCGGCCGAGCTGCAGGGCACCTTTCAGACTTGCCTTTACCTCGCCTACTCCTACATGGGCAACGAGATCTCCTACCCACTCAAGCCGTTCATGATCGACTCGAACAAGGACGTTTTCTGGGAGACGTCGCTCCGGATCATCAACAGGATGAGTGCCAAAATGCTGCAACTGAACGCAGACCCGCACTTTTTCACCGAGGTCTTCCAGGACCTCAAAAACCAACGAGACAGCAGCGAAGCGAACCTGGACCGCTGAAACAAACAAGACACTGGTGTTTTTTTTTTATTTAAAGATGAATGTTTTATGCAAAATCACATAAAACAGTGGTTTTGAATGTAAAGGCCTGTGTTGAAGGCATCTCACGTCTGGGCTGAATATCTCTCTAATGGTGTTACACAACCGGTGTTTAGGCTACAGTGTAGGAGATTTCATACATGCATGCCAATGGTGTATTGTCCTCTTTTGTCTTGCCCCTTGAATGACGCGGGGATTTGACTTCGTGGTGCAAATCACAATCTTAAGTCCCCGTTTCGTTCACGGTTAGCCTACTTGCGGGGGAAGTGGGTGGATGTCGCAGTGAGGTGAGGTTAGGCAGGACCAGAATAGATCCGTGTTTTTGTGGAAGAGCCGGGAGGCGGAGCTGTCCGAGGTGCTGACCTGTGCGGCCATTTCTCCTCCGCTCCCTGCTATTTTTGAATCACTTTGCCACAACAGAGCCAAGCGTGGCTTAAGAGGACCAGAGTCAGCCCAATACACCTTCAGCACATAAGCCTAAGCCTTGTAAGAGGAGGTATAGAGTGGGCTAAATTGTGCTTTTTTTTAAAATTCCTTTACCTGTTGATAGTTAAGCTGTAAGACATGCAACAGATATCTTTAAGAGGACGTGTTACTTGGTTTAACTGTGGATTTTCCTCTTAGGGTAACAGATTTGAAAAGCTATAGTTTCCATCTGCAAACCTTGTCTGGGTACTGCAGAAAAGCACCATGCTGTGTATGGCTATCTTCATACCTGGGATATAACTATTTTCTCATCTACTTTTGTGTGATTAAAAAGCACCAATATCTTCATATAAGCCACCTCACTTTGAATTTAAATATCTTCTGTTTGCCTACCGACGTGATGCTGTAGTGGTGTATCTGTAAGTGGGCAGTTGGTTCAAGGTGAAGATGAGGGAAAGTGGCATAAGTGTAAAAGAGGAGGGAGTATCTCCCCCCCCCTGGAATGTATATGATAAACTGCACTAAATGGGCCCATAGTTGGCCATATAGCAAGATTATCAACCCAAGACCTCTGTTGTGTATTGGTTTCCAATACATTGCAGATGAGACTGAAAGGAATGTACAGTTTTTCAAGAGATTTTTTTTAAATCTCATATGTGCCAACTATGAAATATTCTTGGCCTGAAACTATATGGTTTACATGTACATATCCCACACTCTTTATTTTTATTTTTCTCTGCCTTTTTTGGAGGCGACTGTATATGATGTAGGTCGAGCACAACAAACAACAACTAGAGCTTAATGGTCAAATCGTATTCTTGCCCTGCTCTGTAAATGTGCTGTGGTCCTCAGTTTGCTGGGTTCAGTTCACTTTCAGTGTAGTCAATTCAGGAAGGATCCTCATAATGTAAATATTGAATGTAATGGTGTCATTAATAAGTGACAGAAGATTATAATTTGCACTCTCCATTGCAGTTTCTATAAGCTAAAAGTGATTTGGGCATACCTGTCAGTTGTTATTCAGCATTATGCTCCTTCTAAGTGATCATTGTGATGTGGTGTTGTGAACCCATTGCTTGGAAAGTGAAATATAATGCTGCTATTTTTGCACAGCTGAGAACAAACTCTTGATGTTTTGCACAGTGGTGTAACATGTCATGTACCAGTGTTTCCTGTCAGTTACTGGAGTTTTTGCCATTAAGTTTGCAGTTAATGTCACCAAGTCTCGCTCTAGGATGATCATTTGTGAATTAGATCTTTGGTACAGTTAAATTTTCCTATATATCAGCCATGGAAAGTGATATTTAGATGTGTGTGTGTTGTCTGTGGTGTTGCGCCACAGTTGCATTCACTCTCTCTACGTGTTAATAAAAGGTCAATGCAGTTATTGTTTATGGTGATCATGATGAAATAAATCCAAACGTATGTAGGATCTCTTATCTCTCTTGAATTGCTTTGTCTTAATGTTTATGTGTGTGGTCACTACTGTGTGTAATCTTAATGTGTGAGGGTACATGCTTGTGGTCCATGTTTTCTACTCAGTTTTCTGAAGAAGTAATTAACTTGGACAGCCTCTTATCTACTCACACCACCCGCTAATCCTTTGATTTGCAGGCAACCCTCGGGACATGGTTATGCAATAGAAATAAGTCCATGACAAATATGCTTACTGGGTGATACCATAGGTTGCCATGAGACTGAAGCTCATGAGACTTCAGTTGTTGCCATGAAACTAAAACTTATCAAATAGAGTATTCTTTCATGGAAAAGTTTATTGACACAAAGATACAAATTTAGAAGACAATTTTGTTTAACTTCCTTATGGGTGTATAAGCAAATGGCAGATATATGTAACAATAGCTACATTACATTGTAGAATATGTTGCAGTCGATATACCTGTGTTGTTCACTGAACACAGTGAAGTACGCTGACACATATAAAGGATATTTTTGGTATCCTTTCTGTGTGTCCTGGGTATTCTAATCTGGGCCGCATACTGAAATGGGAACACAGAAGTGAAACAGTGAGGAAGTAAATTTTCCAAAACAAAATGGGAGGAGGAATCTGCAGCTATCAATCTGATAAACTACTCTCACACTCTACATGTTTCATAATGTTTTTCAGAGACATGTAAAATTGAGGAACAATTTTGAAATATGCCTTTCTTGAGTTGGATTTTAAATTAACATGTGACAGATTATGAAGTCTAGTTTAGAACATGGATACATTGATGCTGTATGAGAGAGTGGAGCTGAATCGATAAGGGTTTCCTCCTGTTTTTTATGAATAAGCCACGTGGGCTGGAGAGTTGCTTCATGTGATTGGTTAGAATCTGCTGCAGTCTCAGAACTGTCTGTGACTCTGTCCCTCTCTCTCCCTCCCTCTCTCTCCCTCTCTCTCTCTCTCTCTCTCTCTGTTTCTTATAGGGACATACTGAATCTATTTACAGAGCAATAATGAAAAAAGACAGAAAATGACACAAAAAAACTCTTGACAGAAAGGGAACAGGAGTGAAGTAGTTTGAGAGAGGCAGTGAGAGTGGAAAGAAAGTGGAACAGGGAAACAGAGTAATGAAAAAAAGGGGGTAAATGAGAACACACAGAGAGAGAGATAGATACCATTCATTTACTGCCATCTAATATCAGTCTGGTGTAATTAAAGAATAGCATGATTTTATTAATCAAAACTATTTAAAATGACCATTGTACAGCTGAAACTTAATTCAGTTTTAATGGTCAATTTCTAGTGTTTTTTATAGCTTTAATCTTGATGTATATACATCGATCAGCAATAACATTATGACCACCTGGGCACCGCGGTGGTCATAATGTTATGCATCCCCATATGCAACAAACTGTGATGCACTGTGTGTTTTGACATCTTTTTTTTATCAGAACCAGCATTAACTTTGTTTGCAGACCGGGAACACCCCACAAGAGCTGCAGTTTTGGAGATGCATTTTTCTACTTCTAACACATCAAATTTGAGGACAAAATGTTCAGTTGCTGCCTAATATATCCTACCCACTGACAGGCGCCATGATAATAAGATAATCAGTGTTATTCACTTCACCTGTCAGGGGTCATAAGGTTATGGCTGATTCGGTGTATATTCCCATATGATTTTTTAAAAACACTAATTTGGCATGACAACTAGACAGTTTCAACTTTCATGTGAACTAAAGAACTACCCATTCAGATACATGATCTCTGAGGTCAAACATTTAAAGAGATCAGTACAAAACAACACGTCATGATGGTCAAAATAGCCTTCTTGTAATGGTTTAGGTTTTTTTTTTTTTTTACTTCATGGCAGAATTCTGCAGCAGCGTTATGTAACAGGCTCCCAGTGCAGTGTTGTAAGTCTTCTCTTTATTATTAAGATTCAGCCCAGGTCTCATGCATATCTGTCTTCCAGCCTGCTTTCAGCATTCTTCTCTGCTGTGTCTCTATAGTAACGGGTAGGTAAGTGAATGGGAGCTGGACAAAGTGAGCTGTGTGGGGCTGAACGTGGGCTGCACCACTGCACAACACATCACACTGCTCTGAGCAATAGAAGACGCTCACACAGTATTTGTAAGCGTCTGTCAGTGCAGGCATGTCTCTGACTCCTCCACATCCAGCCTGTCTCTGTCTTTTCTGACTTACCTCTGCTTTACTGCTGTTTCCCATTCTGCTGGATTTGTCTTCAACAGTTCATCCTCTGCAAGTGTATAGATCATCATCACATTGTGTATCATTGTATTTTTTCATGTTACTGACCAACTACTTTGTATCTGAGGATATAGACAAGACAGTGATCAGAAACCTGTTCACATGCCACAGTATCTGGGTTACATGGAAATCGTCCATCATATTAAAGTTTCTTAAATTCACATAACCAGTATGCACTAAAAACCTGATAATATCCAGAATACTAAGTGCTGCTCGCATTCTATATTTCATTTTCTATTACAGTGAAGTCACTCACTTAAAAGGTCCCCTGTCTTACTTAAGCCCATAATGTCTATGTCAAGGCTTAAACAGTCTGGAGGCTTATTGCTTCTCTCTTAAAGGGTTGTGATTGAAAATGTACAGATTGAAATGTTATTAACATGATGTAAAACAAAGCTATGTTAAACGGTATCTCCTGCTGCCTGGACTACAAGTGGTGGAAAGAAACATTTCCTGAAGTATTGTACTGAAGTGCAATTTTGTGTTACTTTTACTTTACTTGAGTAATTACACTTTTAATTCTAGTTTAAGCTTTCAGAATTATTATACATGTTAGTCCACTAAATTAATTTGACAACTTTAGTTAACTAATTACTTTTCCAAAAGTTTAACATAAATAAATTGCCAATAAGCTTAGGAAATACAACATACTGTTAGAGATTAAAGCAGGGACTCCAAACCATTTTGGCTCCCTTGTCACATTTCAGACATCTGTGAGTTATTAGCAGTTCCACCAAAGAGATGTTTCCACTCTAAACTTCTCAAATGTTTTAATTTAAATAACTGTTAGACACTCAAAGAGGTAAAAATCAATATTACACAAAACTAAGAAATTTCTTATCACAATAATAATATCACTTCAGTCACAGGGGATATTTTACTACAGAACCAGTACTGATACCCTTCTTATATTGTACTGATTAAGCAAAGAACTTTAGTATTGACATTAAATTATAATTCTTAAGTAGGAATCCAATTGTAGAACCTTTGCTTGTAATGTAGTGTATGAATATTTTGACATTAAAAACTTGTACTCAAGTGAAGGATCTGAATAATTATTCCACCACTGGTGAAAGAGAAGGACAGTGAACATTAGGTTTGTAACTTAATTAAAACAACATCTTTACCAGTATGTATTCAATATACAGTCCAGAGTTTACTTCACCGTCTTGAAAAAGGATTCTCCCTGACTGAACATTCGTCATCTGCCCTCGAATGGAAAAAAAGACCAAATCTAGATCAACTGAGGAAACACCCTATAGGGATTATGTCTATTTTGCTGTCATCCTGCTACATAACCAACCTGCTAATCTCTTTAACTAGATTACTCCAGTGTGAAGTTGCAGTAAGAGGCAGTCCATCGCCACTTTTACATTGCAGGGAGGAGTCAGACTCAGTAGGGGAAAAAAATCTGGATTCACTTCATAGTTCAATTCATTGAAGAGTGAGTCATCTACTGTCGTATTACATACCATATATGTTATATAACTACCGGTATATGCTGCTGTGTTTACATGATACTTTTTAGATTTAAATATCAGTTGTTATACAATATGAAATGATCCAGAACAGTAGATTAATTCCTTCATTCACCACACACCTACACAGTGTTCATTGTCATTTTCTCTTCTTATTTTGCAAGTGAATCACTTCACACCACAAATCTGCATGATTATTCATCCATTTAGTTTTATATAACCACCAAAATCTGACCCTGGATACTGAAGTATAGAGGTACTCCAATCCCAGACCATTATCTAAATTGACGACATTTCAGAAGCAAACAATGACCTGTTTCCTGTCCTCCAGCTTTAATATTAGTCACATTTAATACACGTTTAACTCATATTATACGTTAAAAGTGTATACACCAGGCTACATGCTCATAGTATGGGAACTAATAAGGAACCAACTGCTGGAGAATCCTTAGTTAATGAGTAACTCCTAATAAAATTGTATAGCTTATGATTACTTAATGATTACTTAATAAACAAGTGAGGAACAAATCAGGAACTACTTCAGAATTGATGGATCATTAATCAGTCACTATACAGATAATGATCAATTACTAGAGAACAGACTAGGAGATCCTATATTAACGAATCATTACATCATGATTAGTTCATGAATATCTGTGAAGTGATCATACTGACTATTTTCTTGGTAGGTTACTCCTGATTTACTCTGAACCAGCCAATGAACGGCACAAAACTAGTAACGACTCATTTATTAATTACTTAAACATCACTCTCTGTTTTTGTGCATCCATTAAATAAGTTTACAGTTAGGAGTGTTAACCACATCGTGGTTGGATAAGGAATTAAAAGACTATAAAGGAAAGCGATCAAGCAAAATTAACAGCAATTTCATCTTGTCTTAAATCATTTTGGCAAATATCAGAAACTTGCAGTTGGTTCAGAATAAAGCGGCACATTTAGCTCTTTCTTGTGTGATAAGAACAAATGTGTCTAGAGTGCATGAATGTCTGATGAATATATTACTGTATTCACTGATGGTTTTCATTAAAAATGTCATAGCAACAAGACAAGACTCTATGTTTTACAAAAGCCTATCCTTTAATACAGATACACACATTTATTTTTTACAAGGCACGCTGCTGGAGGTTGTTTTACTTATATAATATACAGAGCAGAATGGAATTCATTTCCAAATCATATTACACAACAAAATTAAATATATATATTTTTTATGTGCTTTCTTTACT